TGTGATGGCGAAAAAATAATCGAATCCAATAATTAGCCAATAAGACATTGGCTAGTTAGTGCATGTTCTCCAAGTGTCTGTAATTGTTTGTTGTATTATATTGAGGGCATTTTGTGCTTTAATAACTTAAGCCGCTCTAAGCGAGTGTGGCTTACCAACAACAAATACTTGCAATTACGGTTTTGTTTACATACACATACAAATATTGACGGCTGCTTCTATGTGTTTAGTGGTTTACAGTTAACAACAAGTGCATAAATATTCAAATTCATTGTGGTAAGTTCAATTGTGTGTGTGTGGGTGTGCCTGTCATGCAGTGACAGTAGTTATCTGAAGCCAATAGTTGTTGACACTTGACACGGGCCTTTGTATTTTGTCTGCTGCATAATAACTAATTAATTAAATAATTATGTCGTTGTTATGATTAAGACCTGACCACTTGCATAATGACAGGAAAAAATAAACAGGCAAAGCCGAGTTGTAAACAGAGTAAGCATAATTTGCTTTAGAATCCAGTGCGCTAAAGGCGAAACTTGGTTGCATTATTTATATTGGTTGTGATGAGGCATTTCTAAGAGGTTGTATGTAGTTGAATATATTGTACTATATATATTTCCTACTAAATAAAAAATTATAGAAAGTCAAATTTAATATTCATGCAATACGAATAAGATTTAAATAACCAAAACTTTAATATTTTCTTAGTCATTGGATTATTTATTTTATTAAATTTTTTGTATACCTTGAACAGGGTATATTACTTAAGTTTGCCACGAAATTTGTAGCAGACGGAAAAAAACGTCTGAGATCTTATATACGATAACTACTACCTTACGTTTTGAGATATCGATTTGAAATTTCGCACATGTGCTTTTATCTTCAAATTTATCTGCTCATTTGTCGAAACCACAGATATCGGATCACAATGGCATATAGTTGCCATACAAAAAGATCGACAAGATATCATCACAAAATTTAGCGTAAATTATTGTAAAAGGCAATGCTACAAACTTCAAATATATTGTTTGGATCGGAACAGCTGTCATACAAACTGATTGTTAAAAATCATGATAAAGATCTTGAATGCAAATGCGAAGGGTATTTTTGCTACCCTGGAGCCGCATAAACGTTTCTTTTGTTGTGTATATATTTATGTACATTATTATTCCTGCAACAGAAATCAGTTCTTTACATTATTTATTTGTTTATTGCTAGTTTGCTCTTCAAGCTAAATATTTGTATTGTCAGACTGAGTAGCAAATGTCACAGCTGTAGCAAGCAAAACTTTTTAGTACTCACACATACACACACACAAATAAAAATGCATTTGTATATACCTCCACTTAGTCAGTATAGCTGTCCGAGTCCAGTGCCAATCTTGTTTGCTAAGTTTTCGTAGAACTTAGTTTAGTTTTGAATTGTACAATTGGGAATTGATTTCTAAGTTTCTTAAAGTGCTCACACGACTTACAACATTATTTGCACAAAATATTTTGAGTTTATTCCACAAAAGTTTGCACAGTTGTGGGTGCAACAAACTTCAAAGGTCACGTGCTGGCGTGTAAATATTTGGAAAATTTACTTAGACGGCAGCGGAAGACTCAAGCGTGGCAGCATAAGCCGACAGACACAGACATTAGCTTTCGTGCATTATTAAAAAAACAATTTTTGTTGTGGTAAATTGAAGTTATTTAAGTTTTGTGATCTAAATATTAGTTTAGTTTTGCGAATTTTAAATGAAGCTTTAAATGAAATTTGTAGCAAAGTGATTTTAATAATTAACCAACAAAGAGCTCTGGTATCGATCGAAATAAATTTTAATGTCAAAATGCCCTTTTTTAAATTATTTAAAATAAATATTTCTGTGTAATTGCTTTATATTACAAAAATGCTTATATATTTATAAATTCCAGAACATAAATTCAAATTGTTTCTTTTGTTTGATAATTTCATGCTCAGTGAAGCATTAAAGGACACTCGCTCGCTACATAGATTCTGCACTCTCACAAATGTATGCAATTTACAGTTATTATATATCAGTATAAAGCAGATGGTATATATTATTAGCTGTGTGGCGCTGTAGTGTTGTTTTAAAGAGAGCGTTATGTTTATAAAAAGAAATTTGTTCGCATATACACATACATATATACGTATTAGTCATTCGTATTGATTGAAATGCTGCTGAGTGATTTATTTGTTGAAAGTTTCTTTGAAAATTAGTATAAAAATGCAGAATTGTGTTTTTATTTTGCATAATTCAATTCTTAAAAACATTAAATATTCATTGAATTCAAATCGTTTTCGTGGGCCATGGCGTATGAGTAGCAATTATGTGCACTTCCTGTTCTTAAAAGCTTACCTGTCGTATGTGTAACATTTCTAGTTGTTATATGTTATAACTGTACTATAATCGTTCCCCCTGCGGGTAGGGGTAAGAATTTACCCGCCGTAAGGCATGCCTGTCGTAAAAGGCGACTAAAAGCCAATTGCACTATGACTGTTATTATGTACCTTGCTCAGTAATATTAGCATAGTATGTCAGAAATAGTGCTATAATACTCAGCTTGAACTGATATTATAGACTTTAAATGAAAAAGCAAATAAAAAGACATTTGAAGTTCAAGCGATAAATGTCACCAGTCATTGAGTAATGGGTTGCTCAACTGGCAGTAGTTTCGGCTACACAGTCTTACCGGAGACTTTCTGGTACCACGGGGAGCAGTAAGCCCTTGAACTTCGGTCCAATCTGCTCATTGGGTTATGGCCCCTTTGGGGAGATTCGTGGTGGCTGTGGTTGAAACCTAAATGCAGCAAGAACTGAAAATTCAGCCTAACTGTTTTTTCAGTTCTAAAATAAAGTTGCAAAAAGCAACTGGGTTCCGTACCCGAAAACGAAAGAGGTTTTAGGTCGGCCTCGAATCATACCAAGATGGTAGTGTGGGCCCAGACACACTGCCACTGATAACCAAATTAATACGTGCAAATAGCTCGTATTATTTGGGGCGCTTATCAACGCATTGTATTGATACGCTGGGTTTTGGAACACCGTGAGGTAAAGCCGTCGCCGGCAGGTACTCACGTAAATGAACAACGAAAGTTGTACTATAATCGTGTATAGATCACATTTTCGTTGAAGGAAATACTTGTGTGTCATGGCGTATTAGTAACAGTTATGTTCATGTTTGCTGTGGTGCTAATTTGCCAACGCATATGAGTAACGTTAAGGTTAACGGAATAACTCGGGTAAGGTATGCGTAATATTCATTTACATATGTACGTGTATTTAAAAAAGTTGCTAGTATGACGTGGCGTATGAGTAACATTTAAACTTACTCATATTCTTATTCATCGTTTTTATTCCAGTTTATAGCAATAGCACAGCGGTTTCATATATAAAGTTGTTAATTCAGTATAAAATAGAGAATATGCTCTACTTTTTGTATTTCATATCTCAAAAATTTCAACAAAAATATACTCGAGGTATAAAAAATATTTATAAATTATCGATGTTTGATTATGGCCAATTTGATTGGTTCGGACGAATGATAAATACATTAGACAAGTGAAACTGAGTTCAGACAATCTGAAACCTTTTAAATTCTAAGCCTAGGTTCCGTGATTAAGCTTCTCTTACTGGTTCATGTGCTTTAACATTAACTTGGTCATATCAATGAGTAAACACCCTACAAATGTACTACCAAAGTCTTACGAACATGTCAAAGTAATGCATTTAAGTTATAATGGCTGTACCGAATCCATAAAAAACAAAATACAGATGCATTTTTGTAGCATAAAAGGGAATTAAAACATCTTTATTTTACTGCTGCATTGGACAGAAAGCTGTCAGAAATTTCGTGAAAATATCCTGTCAAAGAACAAGGTTCTTCATACAAGTATTTCAATTTTTCGACCTGTTTGTATGGTAGCTATATATTTTACTGGTCCGATCTGAACAATTCATTCGAACATTGTAGCTTTGTCTTGGACAATAATTAATGTGAAATTTAAATAAATACGGTAAACTTATACCTTCTTAATAATTTAAAATAAGATTGAAGCGTCGCCTTAGACAATAATCGGTGAGAAATGCCGTTAAGATACCTTGTCAAATAAAAAAGATTTTAATACAAGTACTTAATATCTCAAAAATGAGGTCACGTATATAGGGACGGACAGCCAGGCGAACAATGCTAAATTGGCTTAGCTCGTCACGCTCAACATTTTCACATATACGCAGGGTATAAAAAAAGAAAATGTAGACGGAATTCATGAACAGGATCACTCTTAGGTAGTACGTGACTGGTGGTATTGTACATGTTTGACAACTCCACTATCGTGGCTGTCTTAACTAAAAAAAGAAATTCTTCATTAACGATTCTGAATGTTTTCTGCAAATAATAAGGACCTTTTTAAAAATGTTTTAAGGCTAATGCCGAATTTGGGATAAACATTTTTATGTGAATAAAAAACCAAACCTTATTTATTAAGACTCGTTCATTATTCTGCAGCTCTACAAAAAAGGTTTTTTTTTCATAGCAATATTCCTTTAGAAGTTATGAGCAGTTAAATTTATGCATCTAATGTACTATGTATATTCATACAGTACACCATGTCGTATGAGCAACACATAATGTATACGTAAATCACATGTATGAGGACTCAGGTCATTTTATGCATAATTTTAACTACTTATGAATTTAAAAAAAAAAATTTTTATTTTGTGTTGTGTTTTTACTTTCATAAGGCAAATTATTAAAAAATTCCCAAGTTAAATATATGGAAAAAGAAATATGATTTAGGCACGCTTTAAATTGAAAATAAAGAGCTTGTTTACGTTGGATACTGTTTTTTAGGGCAAAAACTAAGACTGCAGGGATCTGCAAACAAAATTAAAAAAACTTGTTAGATGACTTACACCTCCCAATGTATATATGGTATATAATATAATATACAAAATTATAAACATATACTTTCAATTACATTTTTTATTGCTTACTCACTTGATCTCTGATTCTTAATGAAGTAAAGTTGCAGTCTTTCTTTGAATGTGTTTTCGTTTACGTAATATTCCACACGGACTCTGAAAGTAGAAAGAAGAACATTCCCACGGAAATGGGGAATTACAGCAATTAGTGGCGATTAGTAAGAAATAGTAGCGTTAAGTGGTGAAATAAGTATTTTGCATTTGCGCAGAAAATCTTCTCCAACACATGCAATTTAATTAGTAGAGTAACGGCTTTCCAAAATACTGTTACTAAGTAGCGGAATGATTATTTCACATACATATAAACGTTTAATACATACTGACGTTTAGCTTGAGATACAGAAGTAGAAAGAGCTTGCTAAATATAATTGTCAAAGGAGCTGAAGTTCGCGGTTATGCAGTGATAAGGCGTCGGAAGATTTAAAAAACTATTTTCGCTGCGCTTGTTTCATAAGTGGCAAGTTGTAAACTTTTTATTTATGATTGCCTTAACTGCTTGTTAGCAAAAACGAGCGAGTATTTGAGTAGTTTTTCGTTATTTCTCACATTTTCGCAATTTAAACATTTTTTGCAGCGTTGCACAGTGTGATGACTATGCCAAAATGTCTATAAAATTTTCGAAATATAAATATATAAATTCAAAATTTATTTTTAATATTCGTTTATTAAAATGGTTTAAAAAACAAAAAAGTATAGAGTGGTCCAAATTCATGTAAAATTTTGAAACAATTATTAAATTTTGGCTTATGCGATAAAACACTTTATTTAATACGAAAATATATAAAGTGATTTTTTTCGTCAAATTGCATAATCCGCATATAATCTGCATATAATCTAATTTTGAGATTGCTGCGAATTTTAGCAAAAATTTATAAAAAACGGCTTAACAAATTTTTTTGTTAAATATTTTCTGTAATTTAACGCGAGATTGCTGAAAGCTTGACTTTCATGGTATTTACATTAAGTCTTCAACTGCCCTATAGGATGTTCAGTTAATATTTCCCAGTGTTGGATAATACTTTTGATACAAAGGTTTACTCAATATATCTTATGATAAGAGCACGGTTTTTAATAAAAACCACTGATTGAGGTATTTTTGAAACTATTTTTTTATAAATTTAAAATTAAATATATTTAATTATTTAATACTATTTCTTCGTAAGAATATAAAACGCCTTCAGGCTTTTATACATATATTTTAACTGAAATTGTAATAAAAAAAAAATTTTACTGTTTTTTAGGCTTTGGAGTATAAAAATGTTGGTTCACCCTGTATCGAAATTCGGTTGCTTAAGATTAAAAATGTACTTAATTTAGAATAATTTCATATGATATTTGCAATAAAAGCTGTTCTGTAACAGTTTTGTAAGATTTTTATATTAAAACAAAATAATGTTGACCCACCCTGTATTTAAAATTTTTTTCTTGTAAAGCAGCAAAAATAACAATAATCATATTAATTGTTTTAAATTGATGAAATCAAAGTAACCTATAGTTAAAAATTTGTGGAACTACATTACTAAGCGTGACCACGCCCCCTTTTGAAATTTTTAAGACGGAATATTTTAATGAAGTTTTAAGCAAAATTTATTTTGCAGATTATTCTATTTAAGAGTATAGTAATTTTGTATTATAAATTCAAGGGAAGTCCACCTAGGGTGTGAGAGTTTTCGAAAAAATTTTTCATTACTCGTAAGCAGTTCAATTTTTTTACTATGACTGAAAAAATCAATATCTTTGCATTGCACAATATTTCTTGTTTGCCTAAAAATTCATAAATCCGCACCACTGCGCTCCAACTTGCCTTTGGCCGCTGCTGAAGTGTGAATGTGTTTTTTCCAACTGTAGTGATTCTTGTAAAAATATCACACACACCCTTTGCCTCCCACATTGCCGCACTTATACACATGTTCACAAAGTTTAGCCTGACTTACAAGCATAATAACTAGCTGTGGCACGCTCGCAAGCTGCCGCCGGCTACTGACTGTCGCTGCAACTTGTATGCACAGCTCACGCGGTCCAACTGGAGATTTATAGTTTTTTATTTTTTATTTTTTGTACTCCTTCGCAAGTTTTTCCAACTTCGCCTGCAGCTACTGCTCAACGCGCACGTACGCTAGCACTTTTGCATGTATTGTTGTTATTGTTTTTGTATTTTACTCATACACATATTCCTTATTTTGCTTGTAAATTTAGTGTAACATTTCACTGTCGCACGCGCACTCTGCAATCTTGCACGTGCCACACGCGCATCCTCATCGACAACAGTAGCAAAACCAACAACAAGACGGGCAACAGCAGCTCAGCGGTATTTATCTTTAGCATTGCACTTGAAAATGTCAAGTGGTTTCTTTTCAATTGATAATAGCAGCAGTTAGTGTGCTCTAGCGAGCTTCTCATTGCCTCTATATATATGTGTGTGTTGGTGCCTCAAATGGTGGCACTTGTGTTTTCTTACGTAAGCTGCTCTTAGCCGCTTGCCTTTTGCGCAGATACTTATCTGTGTGTTGGCTAGCAGCGTGTGGCACAATTAGACATATACGCGTTTATATACATGTATATATATATATATATATATATATATATATTAGGGTGTGTGTTTTGCATTCTAAACAGCCTTAACGTATATTGCTTGGAGCTACGTTTTCACTGTGCTACTTTGAATGCTTTTCGTAGTTGTGGTACTTCAAATGCATGTGGCATGTAGCAGCTCGCGCGGCTCGCGAGGTGTGTGCGTAAAATACAGTTGCAAAGCATTGAAAAACCTCGCAGAGAACGGTAAAATGAAGTACTAAAGGCAATGTCGTCATAGTTTGTATTGCAACATATATTTTGTCTGCGTGTGTGTGTGTGTGTGTGCTACGATACTTTTTAGAATCTTTTCGCCTTTGGTGTTGGAAAAAACTGCCAATGTGTTTGACAGAAGTGTTAAAGCAACGCTTTTATATTACTTGGTTAGGTGTTGGTGAAAATTTCGCGAAAAGTAGTTTCCTTTGATGATTTCAGCGCTATTCAGCGCGTGAAAGATAACGGGGTTTAAATAGGGCTTGTCAAAAGCATTTTTCCCCAAAATAAAAATATTTGTACCTTCATATTTCGCAAAAATAAATTTAAAGCTTTCAGCATATTTTTCATTGAATATTCATTTTAGATTAGTCGAGCTACATTTTTCCTAAATAAGTTATTTTTGCTCCATTCAATGCAAATCTATAACAAGTTTCAAGGGCTCAAACCTGAATAACTGAGAATCATTGATACTGATAAATCCATTTTTGATAAAGAGTGCTTTTTAGATATGTGGCCAGAAATTTAGCTTTATTATATAGATAAAGGCCTACCATTATGTTATAAAATTGATTTCGGGCAAAAGATCGCCGCTCAGTAAGCCGATTATGTTGATCATAAATTGATCGAAGTGCACGAAACACATTCTCTACAGTACGTGCATTTTCATAATAAAGTTGAACGATTGCTAAACGTTGTTGGAGCATGATAAAATGCTAAGCAATATTGAACAAAAGTAACATGACAGCTTGACATGATTCATGTGTGAGCTGTCAAAAAAAAAAGCTCTTGAAAAAAGTACCACTACTTGAAGCACTCGTTAAAAGTGAGTTTCAGCTTTGAACAAAATGTTGTTTTGAAAATCAGAATCGTTGACCGTCTCGTTTTGAAACCATTAATCGAACGTGCAACGCGCTGGATGGTGGTTCGGTTGGATTGGATTGTGTAAGCCAGCAAACTGAGATCCTTCCGCAAATCTTTCATAAAGTGGATGGGCGCAGCTACAATTGTTGTGCTTGATGGCGGCTGCACTCATTCGGTCTTCTCCGATATACTTCTCGACAGCAGCAATAGTGTCTTCGGTGCGCACTGTACGGTATATCTAAGGATGGGCACTATCCTAGACTAGAGTAAAGGTGGTGCGAAACTGATGCATTTTACATATTACTCGAATTACCGACTCTGCTGAGGGATTTTCTGATTAAAACGTACCCTCTTGTCAAAAGAGGGTAAAATTGGATCAATGCTTCCTCTAGCGCTCATACAACTAACATAAAGGTTTTTCAACTTTCTGATGACTACATTTACATATATACCGTGTATAATGTTCACTATGTAAGAAGACTTAGTAAAACTAATTTATATATTATATATACTACCGAAAATTTGTGAAATCAATACTCGTGGACTGCTCCCATATAGGTATACGAGGGCTGCATTGGAAAGTTTGACATTTTTTAGCATAACATCCCTCAGAACGTTTTGTCATTTAATCGTAAATTGTTTTATTTACAGGGAATTAAAAAATTCATCTCTGCCAAAAAATGGAATTAACTCGTGAACATTTTCGTGCAATCATTTTTCACAACTTCCGACGTGGATTATCACGACAAGACTGCATCGATGAACTAAAATCTTTATATGGCTATAAAGCACGATTCTATAGCACTGTGAACAACTGGTACAACGAATTCAATCGTGGCCGACGCTCGCTCAAAGATGAATTCCGTGAAGGTCGTCCAAAAACAGCCGTTGTGCCAGAAAACATCGATGCCGTGCGTGAACTGATAATGCAAGACCGTCATGTAACATACCTTCAGATAGAGGCATGCCTATGCATTTCTCCCACCAGCATACATTCGATATTGTATGAACACCTGGCCGGATCTCGTTGGATGCCGCACAATTTGACAATCGCTCAAAAAATGGCTCGTGTGATTGGTGTAAAAAAATGCTGCAAAAATACGATCGCGGTGCTTCAAAAGACGTTTATAAGATCGTCACCGGTGACGAATCATGGATCTATGCGTATGAGCCCGAAACAAAACAGCAATCGACCGAACAAAAAAAAAAAAAACATTTTTGTTGATAAATATTCGTATTTTCATTATTAGGCCAGAAATATATATATAGCAGCCCTCGTATATATGACTCTTGAAGATACTACAAAGAATGATTTTAATTGTTTTAGCAGACTTATTAGTAGGAAGCTGCGCTCCAATGCATTAGATATACTGCTACTTTGATAATTAATTTTTCAAAGAAATTCAATTTTCAAAAACATATATTTTTAGCAAAGACAACTTATTTCTATTGAATTTTGATTCAAGTATTTTGGAAATAAATATTAATGTACAATAAGTATTACTACACGTATAACTACCCATAAAACAACGGCGCATGCCAAAATTAAAAAAAATATATATTTTATCAGCTCTTTTGTTACACGCTTTAATATACTCAATAAGCTTATGGAAAATTCTACGCTTTTATACAAGTATTAAGCACATTTCGCATGTAATAGTATCCTCCACTACATAAACTATTGCACAATGCATTGCAGCCATTAAAAATGTATTAGCTCTCCTTTTTATTTGCCATTTCAATGGAGTTATGTGCGTTTTTTGTTTAAACAAAAGTTTTGCGTGTCACAATGCAATTTGGTCCATTTTCCAAAAATATGCTCACGTAATATCATTCTTATTGGAAAACTCTGTATATATGTAATACTATTAAGCTGGGTTTCTGCATTTTACACACATTAGCATTCCTCTATCTACCTACCTTTATTACAATTATACACATGCGTGTGCTAACTTTTTCTATACATTTGATAAATAAAGTTATTGGAGGATGATAATAACATACTACATACATATGTGCTTTAAGATAATATTGTACTTTGTTAATAAATGGTTCTATAAATGATATTTGCTTTGTTGGTAGTAAAGAAGCAGTTACGTTCTAGCACAAAAACTAAATCGTTCTTTATGATGTTGCAGTAAAAACATAATAGGTATACACAAAATTAATGAAGGTTATGAAATTTCTTAAATAATTGGGAATTGTCAGCTCATGTGTTATATCAAAATTACTTGTTACGCTTTGTCCATGATAAACTATTAAACTACTGAGCCGATTTTAGTAAAATTTAGCACACTGTGTTCAGCTTAATCTCACTTGAAAGATGGACCAGTTTATATCTGAATTATGTTAAAATAAAAACAAATCATAAGCGAAAAAAAAACATAAGCATGTGGCTTTTTATCATTTTTGTTATCAAAATAGTCCATGCTATGCATAATAAGTGAAATACTCTCCTCTAATATTATTGATACTGAGGATACTTAAATATTCACTCATTTTGTTTATATAACTCGATATCTATGTTGTCACGATTTGTATACCGTAAATGTTAGTAGTTAGATTTTAGTTTTTTCCATGTATAGGAAGCCACCAAATTTGATGAAACAGCCTAGTGGTGATTTGGGTTACGTCAAATTCAAGCAGCAATAGTTTTTTGTTGAAATTTCGTCGTGGCAGCTTTCGTGACTATGGAACCAAAGCTTGCTTTCATGTTCAACCGGACGTTAAAATTAACTAACACTAAGTCAAGCATGCCGATCGTAAATACCTTAGTAGCAGACATCTTTCAAAAAATCGTTGTCAGAGTATATATAATAACATGGAAATTCCTATGCAGTATGAATGCAGCGCATTAAATAAATTAAATTCATTTTCAATACAACTTTTCTAGCTGTTGTAAAACAATTTTTATTTCACTTGATTTATTGTATGTAGGCATTAAAATAATCGCTAGTGTTTCTTTAATATTATATATATATCTTTTTATTATATCCTGGTATATTAACTCTGCCACGATATATATATGTAACACCCAAAAGGAAAAGCCGGATACCCTATAAGGGTATATACATACAAAAGCTCACGTGACGAGCTGAGTCGATTTAGCCATGTCCGTCTGTTCGTATATACGTAAACTAGTCCCTCAAGTTCGATATATAGCTATACACTTTTACACATATCCTTTTCTCTCCAAAAAGCTGCTCATTTGTCGGAACCGCTGATATCGGCCCACTATAGCATATAACTGCCACACAAACTGAACCATTGAAATTAAGTACTTATATGGAACATTTTTTATGAGAAAAGATATCGTCACAAAATTTCGCATGCAGTATTTTCTAAAGCATTACTAAATTATTCGAATACATTTTTTTACTTAAAACGGACGACTATAGCATTTAGCTGCCATATAAGCAGATCAAACAAACTTAAGTTCAAAATTTCTTATAATACATTACTATCCAAGGCATCGCTACAGTCTCCGAACACATTCTTCAGATCGGAACACTTTAGCTGACATACAAATAGACCGATCAAAATCAAGATAAAAATATTCGATACCCTTTTATGCTTATTGTTATTATAATTTCGTTGCATTTTAATCCAAAATTTTCGGCTCTACAAAAAAGGTCTAGTACGTTTTTATTTTTATAAGAACATTACTTTAAAAGTTTTGCGCTGTTAAATTTCGACATCAAATATATTGACCATTCATACAAGTGATTCATAGATTCTACGTTACTCATACGATATGGTGTACTGTATTAATACAGTTCAATTGATGAATGATTTTAACTGCGCCTAAATTTGAAAGGAATGCTTCTATGGTAAAAATAATGCCGAATTTTTTGTAAAGCGCTAAATTTTTTATTAGAATATCGAAAATCATATTTTATATTGTATATATCGGAAAAGTAAAATGATTTAGGCATGGTTTAAATGGGAAATAAATATTATTTTTACGATGGATAGTTTTCTGGCGCAAAAACTGAAACTTGAGAGGTTATCTGCAAAACAAATTAGCTTGGGAAATAATGGACATCCAAATAAATAAATATACATTAATTTTGAAATACATACATTAAATTTTCCACTTTATTTTCATTCTTTAATTTCTCAACTAAACGTTTATAATAAAAATCCCGCACATTAGCATTTATCAAATGTTACTGTGAAAGCTCTATAAAATAGACAAACACTTGCGGCAGCGCTAGCCAACTGTCCACTTAATTTTATTAGGCGACTGAAATTGAATAAATGAGCGGGCAGCTGCAACACACACACATTTTCGTTTCATACCGAATGTCATTCAATATTTACAGGCAGCGTGGGCAATGGAATTCTTTATGCTTATGCCGTATGCCTTAAGGCACTAAATTTAACAGCAGTGGCAGCATAGAAATAACAACTAAAACAGCAACTACAAATGACTCTGCCATTTAAACCGAATTACAAGATTGGACACCTGTGAATTGAATTCGAGAATGACTGAGAAAGGTCACTAACAAATTTATGATGCCGCCAGAAGAGCAATGCAGAAATAACAGTACAAGTTGTAAAAAGAAAGAAAAAAGAAGAAATGTAGAAGAGAAGGTGAAGAGTGATCTAATTCTATGGAGTAAGTGCACGTGGAAATAGTTGAACTTTCAAAGGCAAGCGAAGTTGAAATAAAACGGCAGTAAGAGCAGGGGAGTTGTGGTAAGGAAAGAGAGGGGATAGTAGGGGTTACCACTGAATGGCTAGATCTTCAGTTTCATAAGTGCGCTGTTGTGGGAGTCACTTGTAAGCCGTACATTAGCCTCGAAGACAGTGAATGAAGTAGGTAAAAAGAGAGGGTAGGAAAAGAGACAACGTGGAAGGGAGCTGCAATAAATAAACGAATGAATAGCATAGCAAAAAGCAAAACGAAATACACAAAAAAAAAAAGGCAGCTTTAAAGCGAAGCGAAAATTGTATTAAAGTGCGCTGTAAAGACGCAGCAAAACGGCGCTGAAAGTGGTCACTCGTGCAAATAATTTAGGCATGAAGATTTGTTGCAGCAGAAAATCGCCTTATGCCAAAGAAAACAGAACCAAGCAATGATGGGAGATAGAAAGAGAAAGAGAAAGAGAAAGAGAGAGAGAGAGAGAGAGAGAAAGAAAAATGAAATATATTTGCTGGCGCTGACAACAGCTTTAATGGTTTTGTACTTTTTACCTCAGCTTGTTGTAGATTTCGCGCTGTTTTGTTGTTGCAACAATTGCTTGCCACTTAAGCTGACCGCTAACTTGGCCGCGAGTGGCTGCGCCAAGTGTTGCGAATGTCAGCGCCGCGACCCAGAGTGTCACCCAGCCTTGTGTGGCATGCGGCACGTGGCAAGTGGCATGTAGCGCGCGCCACAGCTTTTCACAGTGCACAGCATGACAGCAACATTTGTAGTTGCCGGTGCCACAGCCGCAGACACAGACTTCAAAACAAACTTAAAACTGTATGCAAGAGTTGTTATGTGTGTGTGTGTTGTGGCAAGCACACACCCGGCGTCTGCCATGACATCAAAGAGATTTCTATCTGCATTCGCGTAAAATCCATCGCATTTTTCCTTTGCATATTTCATAATATTTCATTTCAGCGCTTTTGTTGTGCTCTAGTAGCATTTAGGGTAGAGGGAGAGGGGCGCAGTGTAATCGCAGACAGCTGATGCAGCACAGCAGGCATGGCGCGACTGAGAGAGATTAAATGCGTTAACGCTTGAAAAGCTTCTTAAGCTCATGCCGGCCAACGGTATCAGTTGCTCGCTGTCGATGCTGGTGCGTGTGCGATGTGGCCCGATTTGCCGCTCGAGTGACTTCTACGGATGTGCTGGCAGAGCAGCTGCTTACAGGATGAAGCATCCCTGCTCTGGTTCTAAATAATTTGCATTTGCTGGTTGTTGGCGCTGTGGCTTTTGTCTGCGTATTAGTGAATTGTTTGAAAGTATTATTCCGAGTGGAGAGAAATGTGGACTGAGCAGTAAGTGTTTTCAAGGGCAATTAATTTTATTGCGAATTTCAGATATGAACAATTTCTAAAATACTTTTTCAGGGAAACTCTTTTAAAATTATAGTATTGAACATATGTACATGCATAAGAAAGTTTTCCATACAAGGGCTTGAGGTCGATCGATCAGTTTGTATGACAGTCATGTGCTATAGTTGTTCGATCTGAACAATTTTCTCGAATATTACAGCGATGCAATTAATAATAATCTGCGCAAAATTTCGTAAAAGTGTCTTATAAAATAAAATAGTTTTTTATACAAGAATTTTATTTTGTGTGGTAGCTGTACATAGAGAGAAAAACACATGTGCAAAATTTCAGATCGATATCTCAAAAACTGAGGGACTATTTCGTGTATATACGGACAGACAGATAGACACACGGACATGACTAAATCAAATGAGCTCGCCACGCTGGTTATTTAAATATATATTTTATATATTATATATAGGCTCTCCGACGCTTCCTTTTGGGTGTTGCAAAATTCGTGGTAAACTTCTTAATACACTAGAGATAAAGCCATGCAATAACCCAAAATACAGCGAATACACTAAACCCAATGAACAAAGGTTCAATGACAGGTATGAATAAAGGTAACAAGGATAACAAGATCTAACAAAATTCTACCTGCTCGTGTGGGCTCTCCCTAGCGCAGGTAGGTATAAAGGCAAACAAATTTTCTTCACATCATCATAACGTTATCAGCTGTAGATACTGAAACATTGACGCTTTAAACATCTTGTAGTTATGGACTCATCCGCGAACACTACACATTCCAGAGATGAGCTTGCTGAATTAAAAAATCGCGAGCATACAGCGAACGAGGGTCTATCGATAGCAGAGATGCAACTAAAACGACGAAAAGAGTTCATAAAAAAGAACATAGAAGCAAAAGTTGATGAAGAGACGCCACTAAACGCTGTAAATATACTAGCGGTAACGACACAACAATACCCAATAGAAAACTTTGAATTAGGGAGCACACACCCTCTAGGAAACTATACAATGGCGTTCCATCCATTGGGTATCGACGTTACCATTGATTACAATGCATACCCACAACAACCGCTATGCTGCTTAGGATCAAGGAATACACACCTGTCAGAAAACTATAATTTCACAACAATGTCAACCCATTCGTTCAGTATCCACGCTACCAATAGTTATAACGAACCTCCACCACACCCGCTAGATAATTTTGAACCTGAGAAACGTGGTTTACCATCTTCAAGTGTGAAAACAGATACACCTTTCGAAGACTTCACAACAGTGTTACCATATCGCATGAGTAAGGCTATGAAAGAGAAGCAAACCATGGAATTGGCCACATACTTAAATTTACATCCACAATACCCGCTAGGAAATTTTGGAACAGAGCAACGTGTCAACGCCGATGCTGCTATGCGTACTCCAAATATGAAAACCGAACCACCTTTCGAAGAATTCACAGGAGTGTTACCGTATCGAATGAGTAAGGCTATGAAAGGTAAGAAAACCATGGAAACATCGTCTTCACTTTTAAGCGAGGATCTCGCCATAAAACAAGAACTAATGGATGATGAAAACATATCTTCCAATGTGTCATATGTGAATAATGATTTTGAAAGTCCATAAATGAACAAAAATTAGATAGTGACCTTGGTGAAAAACTTTTTACGGCTTTTTTGAGCAGTGCCTGTCCATATAGTCAAGTAGTTTATTCGAAGATTACTTAAGCTGTATTGTAATGATTTATAAATAATTTAAAAAATTATTTGGTTTTTGAAATATATAATTATATTGCTTTTTAGGAGGGAAATCCATAGTTTGTTATCTTAAAAACTGCAAGGGTTGTTGTTTTGGATTTGGGAACCCTTAAAACTCACCTAGTGGCGTTTATAAAATGAGAGACTTATAAATTTTTATCAGGTTCATCACTGCTGCGTTGTCTTGATTATTTACTTGATGATAATGATGGAATTTAGAAAAACGAAATACATAGATCTCAACTGCCTACAATGGCATCCCGAAATTAATACTTTGTTTACTAAATTTGTAAGAACCATTCCATTGAGTGGTGAGAAACTTTTTTCCGTGGTTGTTACGAAATGTTCTAGAATTTCAGGCTTCTCAAAGACTTACTTTAGTATATATATGTAGATTTGCAATAATCGGATGCCAAATTTACGATTCAGTGAACTAGTGTCTTGTAGATATGAATACGCACAACAAAATCGCTGAATTTAAATTCTAAGTTAGTCTAATAATTTTAATTTTATTTAAAATAAATTTAAAGAAAAGAAATCGGATATGATTTAACTAAGGCTGTCAACACCATCAAGCGGAATATTTTTGCCACGTATGAAAACTTTGTGTATTTTTGTTTGCAATTTTAAACGGCGTCTGTCAGCTATTATTTGTTTTTGTTTACCCTAATGTCGCTAAAATAGATTTTGAAACAAAAGCAGTCTACATATATATGTATATTTTGAAATTTTCATGTGTATGTAAAACGAAATAAATCTCATTTATGCGGCCACAATTTCGCAGCATACATTTATGAGCGCAATGATTTTGTCTAACAGTCAAGAGCATGCATAGATGGGTTCGTCGTGAATAGGTCTGATATTATCTTATTTTACTAAAGCTTAAGCTTTTAAATTAGCCTCTTAAACAAAAGATGTGTGTTTCAAATAAAGTTCTAACCAAAAATGCATATGTTTTTTTGGTTTATATTCTTAGTAAGACTTGTTAAGTCTATCACAACTCTCAGAAAGTTAGTTGCTAAAATTGAAACAAGTTTTTAAATAAACGTACTGAAATCAGCCTCAATGTAAACAAACAGTTCGAAAAATGGAATTAGAATAGAGGGCTTTGAAAGTGGTCTTAATAATTGCATATATTCGTAACGTAATTTTCGTAGAGCTGTTTTTAGGAAATTGATGTAGTATAAACTTAGCACTACTACTACAATGTTTATGAGGTCACATATGCCTCATATTCATATCTGCACTTAAATAATTTTCTCTCACCAAAAGTGAAAATATGTCAAATTTGGTACGGAAAATTGCGGCCATCAACCGTAACTGCTTTGTGACCTCTTTCAAATTTAGCATAGTTTTAGTATTTCGTATTTAATGGAATGAAACTATTATTGACGTGTTCTGATTTTCACATCGGTGGCTTGATATTTTCTGAAAAATATGTGTAAAGTCCATAGTGAGCTTTTATAGATTAAATTGTTTGTTCCTAGTGTTTTTGCGACCTATATACGTGATATAATACATATACACGAAATTCAGTTTGAAAACTGTCATGAAGCCAGGAAAGCTCAGCGGACATCGCAGGCTATTAAAGTGTTCATGATAGAACGTCATGCCAGCCATTCACACACAGTCAAACACATACGAGTATAGAACCCCATTGGGGGTATGCCGTTAAATTTAATTGAGACATTCACAAAAACAACAACAACAGCCATTAAATCGGGTAGCAGAAATGTTGCATTAAAACATCAAAAGTGCATAACCCAAAAAGCGCAGCAGGAGAGAGAAAGAGAGCGGCAAAAAGGGGGAGAGATTGACATGAATGCTATTAAACCGGATGAATGCGTCAGCAACTGCGAACAGAATTCGATTTAAGTATTTTAGGACAGCAAGCAGTAAAAGTCATATCAGCTATTATAATTTTTGTCATTTTTACGTTAGTTTTATAGCTGCTGTTTTTGTTCTTGTTATGTTTTCAACGAAATTAGTAGACATTTAAATTTGAAAACGTGAGTTTTGATTCAAGTATGTTAAAAGCGGTAGAGATCTTAAGTAAAAATAGAATGATAGGGAGGATAAATAAGATAGATGCTGAAAGAAAGCGTTAGAGAGAGAGAAATGTAGTAAAAAGAACGTAGCATAGTGAGGCCACTTACTAATGGAAAGTTTCTTGAGCTTTCTTTAAGTTGAGATATTTCAAATTACTCGTCATTTAATTTTGAGCTTAACAATCTCGAAGAATGCATCCACCACCATGTGCATTTGATAATGTTCATCATATTTTGAATTTTAAAGTTAAGGATTGACTCACTATGTCCTTGAACCTATTTCAGGCTTATCGTAATCGGATTCACCAAGTGATCATGGCATTCTTTCACTATCGTTGATGAAACCCTAAGAGATTTTACTAATTTCAAAGAGACTTTATCAAATTATTGATGTGAGCACACTCTTTGTCAGAACAAGAAGTATTTTTTTGATTGCTGTGACCTCCGCTTGAAAGACATTGCAGTGGTCTGGTAGTCGGCAGCCGATTCTGGTGTTTAATTTTGCTGAAAGTATACCATCTCCCACTCGGCTATCTATTTTGGGCCCATCCGTATAGATGCTTATCCCTGTATCCCTGGCCACCTCACCACTTTCCCACTCTTCTATAGGAAAGCAATATTGCGGACCGAATTTAAGTTGAATTCTACAGGATTTCGAAAATCCGTCGTATCACAGAATTATAATAACAGAAGAGAGTGAAGGCTCTCCTCCACTTTGTCAGTGCCACTGAATTTTCAATGCTCACCTCTAAGGATACGTGACACAAATCTTCTTGGCATTTTAAAATTACTCGTTACCATGCGTCTCGATGGCGTTACGTTAGAAAGGAGAGTTGCTTGGTGCGCGCTGAGTGGCAGCTATTGATTGTGATATTATTTACTAGGAATATATATTTGACTTTAGTTGCTCTGTTGCTTCTCGTATTCAGTTACTCTCTGCGCGGCAATGTAAGCTGATAAATTGAAAGGTTACAACCTTTTGATTTGGGGTGTAAATGTGTGCATTTTTCTCAGTATTCAATTAACGCGACGCCCGTAGATATTGTTAGGTTAGGTTAGCGACGAAAGCGCTGACTATTTCAGTTTTTTTTCCTTTGCTGCCATGTAGTTGATTCATTGAAATGGCAATGCGTCATAACGCGAATCTGCTGGTGTATGGACATTTTGTGGGCAATACATCACTTAGCCAATAATCTATCTTCATCAGAATTATTGCGTCAGCGATATATAATATTTGCATTTATGAAGTATAGTAAGAGAAGATAAATGCCAAATTTTCTACTCAATTTCACTCATTTTATCAACACACGTCGATGAGCAATGCACATTTTACTCAGCGCCTTGGGCGGTCAATTACATTTACATTCCCTTTTACGCCTTCTATTAGTGTTAAAGTGTTGAGATGAGGGAAGCGGGCCTACACTAAAAGCTTTCATTTCCAGTCAGATAAGAATCGACTGAAAACCCCTTGAGTTTTAGGAAGATTTTCATTATGATGTAAACTGAGGTGCATTCCCTTCAATTTTAACGTTCATCGACGAAAATATTTTTATTGACAGAAATTCTTCTGAAAGGTTCAAATAAATTCCTTAAAGAGAAATTTCGCAAATAGCTTTTCTTAATTTCAAGTCTTAATCCCTACTAACCTTTGAATCCGTACTAATGAAAAAATTTATTGAGTTTATGAAAACCGTTAGCAATATGACAGTTAATGAAAAACCAAGGAAAAACGTTAACTTTGGTTGCATCAAAGCTAGAACCCTTTACAAATGAAAAAGACTCCATTCAAGAACTTGATTTCGATCGGACATTTTGTATGCTATAGCGGTCCGATTTGAACAATATGGAGATTTTACCGATGCCTCGGCTATTAATCTATGCCATATTTAGTGAAGATATTTTGTCAATTTAAAAAGTTTCCTATACAAGGATATTAGGATCAGTTTGTATGGCAGCTATATACTTACTATAGTGGTCCGTTATCGGAGGTTCTGACAAATGCACAGCTTCTTGAAAAGAAAAGACACAAGCGATTCTTAAGAATCTCAGAGAGAGGGATATGGCTAAATCGACTTAGCTCTTCACACTGACAATTTATATACTTGTATTATATATTGCTTATATGATCTCAAAACTTTTATTGTTATTCCTTTATAACGAATTACATTAAAAGAAGAAGTCTCAAGGAGGTCATCTATAAATTTATACCTGACCAGGTTTGATTTATGTAGAACCAATTTTCATAAAATTGAAATTTAACGTCATTGAATGCACTGCCCTTGTCCCACAAAATTACGGAAACATTTTTAAAATACCTAAATTTTCTCGAAGAACGTATGTATCTTAAGTAATAATATTAAAGATGAACCTATCATGACGGGTTATTTAACTAAATGGCGGCGCTTTTTAGAAAAATAGTAATTTTACTCAAAAACTAGTTAAGATATAGTCAAAAAATTCTGTGCATTATTTTTAAAGGTACAACCAAACGAAATATGAGAAATATCGTTTTTAATTTTTTTTGTAATTTCTTACAAAATATGAAATATATATACATATGTGTTACCTAGATATACAAACTCACTTAGCCCTACTTAGATTGGACAAATAAATATTTGACAGTGGTAAATCGAACAAACAACATAAATGCGATGAGCCATCCTAAGTAAATAGAGGCAGTATAGAAAGTGGTTATACAAACATAACGAAATCAAGTTTTTTTCTTTTGTGTCGAACTTATTTATATAACGGGTCTTTTTCAGGCGGTTGCTGTTCAATGAGGCAATAATTTTTTCGAAGTTTCAGTTTTTTCAAGGAAGCTTTTATTGAGCGCATAATCACGCATCGTGAGTCAATGGTGTGACCTTTCAGATCGTGTGATTTAAAACAGCTGGATTATTTTTTTAAGGTTATGTGCAATTAATTGTGTACACAGATAAACCCTTGGAAGAGAATATTTCGGCGAGTTATTGGTGACATGCGACCCCAATTTTCGCAAAAAGTGGTCGAAAATTAGGCCTCTTCTCTGGAACTTTTTCGAGCCAGGCCTTTAGAACCGGAGCATTTAAGTATCAAGATCTCCAAATTTTACGGCGAAAACCTGGAAACCTATCTACGTAAGTCATTCTGAGAAACCTTACTTCATTTAGGAGCTCAGTTTTTTAAAATTTTTTTCACCTGAAAGGAAGTCCATGTTAAGATAGTTGCTGTGACTTGCATTTGATTGTGTCGTAGAATTTTCGTGCGCCGCCACTGTCTCGCGTAAGTGAGTCGAAAATCTGAAGGAAAATCGATGAATAGACAAGTAAGTAGCGTAAATTGAGTTAAGCTATGTTTATAATTCAATTTGTGTGGCAATTTAAAATCTTTTCGGTGCTTGTAATGTGATCTTTTGTTACACCATGATGGCGCACAAATTCCCGCCAACAGCAACAGCAACAACAGCGTGACTGGTAAAAGCATAATGATGAATGATGCTTAAAAGCCTTTTGGTTGTTGTGATCTCTGCTTGACAGTATTGCTATAGTTGCTGTTGTTGTTGCCATTGCAATTGATATACTTTTGCTGGTTCATTTGACTTTGACAAAGTTCAAGAGAAGGCGAAAATCCACACTCACACACACACACTGACACATACGGTTTTCGTGCGTCGACAGACTTTCCTGCGCACTTTTTTGCCTCCGCTGTCAATGCCGTTAAAGCTGCACTTAGCAGCGACGACTAGTTGAGACCCAGCTGAGGTGGCTGACTTTATTGTTGTTGTTCAGTGCGTAAAAAGGAAGCGGCGTCATCGCATCCACAAAGCTAAGTTTGTTAGGTTCAAATGCCTGCAGCTGAGTTGCTTGCTCTTTCATTTTATTGCGAGCGCTGCTTCTCATTGCCTCTTTTATGCTTCCAATCAAAGAAACCAAAACAAAAAACTAGAAAAAGGACCGGGTTGAAGCACAAAAGTTGGGTGATTTCACTACAAGTATTTATTTTTTGTACAAAATGAGATTATGGATCATCGACCGTAGCAACATTCCACTTAGCCGAAGTTCAGGCAACTCGTCTTGTATAACTGTAAATCAATATTTTTAAATTTGCTTGTAGAGGAAATGTTATGAAAATTTATTAAAAAAAGAGATAATAAGGTCTTCTAATAGAAAACACATAAGTAACTTTGTTGTGAGTTTTAGCTACCCGAAAGGAACCTTAAACTATAGCTAAAAGCTTTATAGGCCAGTGATGAAATCTATTGAAAAAGAAAGAAAAATAATTTACGGACAAAGTTTCGTTTGGAAAAAAAGGGTCCTTTTCCGATATTCAGTCAAAATTAGGTGAACACACATTTTTTTAAAACAAAAAAATTACAGTGTGTTTTGAACATAAAATGGTTAATTTATCACAAATTTCATGAAAGAACCAAATTTTTGTGCAATATAAAATAATAAAAAACCATATAAATTTTCACATAAATTTTGACAAATTCTTAACATCAAATTCGTACATAATATTATTATATGCTAATTAAGTTTTACCATAGGATTCGTAGTTTTGCAGAGATAAACCATTTCTAACCCTCAAAAATTCAACCAAAATATTCATGTAAGAAATTTAACCAGATATTGTCCGAAAGGAAGGAATTTTGAGGTAAGAAAATGTGGTTTATTTCTGAAAATCCAAGCAAGCATCAACAAATAAAAAAAAAAGAAAGTCACTGGTTTCAAAATTCATGACAAGAAAAGTTCTAGTACTAAAAACAGAAGATAGACTTTATAAATTATATATAAGTTAATTATACCTACTAACTTTTGCATTAAGTTGAAGAATTTGTTTAGCAAATATACATATTTTGTTCGATAACTTCTTGCCATTTTGAAGGTAATAATATAGTGCCACTCTCACAGAATCCTCGTCGGCAAAAGCATTCAACATTTGCAGGAAGAGGTAGTAATCGCTGTGTGGTCTGGCGTTGCCTTGGTGGAAAACAATTCCTCACTCAGTTTCGGTACGATTCCTTCCGGACGGTCTAGTTATTGACAGCGCAGATAGAAATTAAGAGTATCCAAGCCCATCAAACACATTGCAAAACTTTACTGAACGTTAATTTTGGCTTGGTCACCATTTTCGGGGGCTGACCGCGATTCGACTACGACCGTTTTCATATGTAAGTCATAAGTGACCCACTCTTCATCAACAGTAACTATTCGCTTTATAAATGTATTGATTTTGTTGCGAATTGTAGGTGGAAAATCGGTTCAGAATATAATCAACTTGTCACGATTTTGAAACACCCGATAACTCTGTAAATTATAATATATAAATGCATAAACGCGAACTTGTCTTACAGTTTTCGAGCTATCGGTCTCACATTTTTCACACGAGTTTTTCTTGCTACAGCTTTCTTGTCGGAACCGATATTTGACAACTTTAGCATATAGCTGCTACAAACTGAACGATCGGAAGCAAGTGCTTGTATGGAAAATTGTTTCATTTGATGGGTTTTCTTCCAGAAATTTAGTAGAGATTATAACTTAGTGCATCGCTACAATTTTCAAAAGAACTGTTCAGATCGGACGCCTATAGCCTATAGCTGCCATACAAACTGACCGAACAAACTCAAGTCCTTGTATAGAAAACTCTTTTATTTGTTTAGGTGTCTAGATTATTATTGAAGGTATTGCTTTCCAAAAATATTGTTCAAAACGGATCACTATAGCTTATAGGTGCCATTTAAACCGACATGTTTGATATAAATATATAATAAAATGTCTCTTCATAAAAATTTCGGTAAAATATTTTTATTAGATTTATAAATGGTCATGTAATCGCTTAAATTTTAGGTCGGTAAATCATATGCAAATGTCATTAGATGGAAGGAGATTCACCGAAGTCCTGCTGATTGAAAATAATTAATACGCACATATGGTCTTATCTGCGGTTAAAACTTATCTGCCAAAACCCAGCGTCCCAGTATAGTATAGTAGTATATACTAGTAGTAGAACATTTTCAAAGTGGTCGATAAAAAGATGAGAGTTACCATTCACTAGTTGTTTGGTTCTAGTAGATGCACTGAGTCTTGATATTTTTCATGCAGATAATAGTTCGCGATAAAGTTTATTTGATGGCTTATCGTAGGTATGTTAATACAATGCGAAAAAAAAATAGGTGTTCATCAATATAAGTGAAATTTTCAGTTTATGATTTATGTCTTCACGACTATTTGTTTCATCTTTTTGTTCTGTGTGGTTCCATTAAAGCCACACACATACGTAAAGATGAATTAGAATCGCTTTATTTAAAAAAATACTAAATCATTAATTTTTATCTTGACTTCATAACATAAAATATTCCACTTGTTCGCCAGCTTAAGAAATAATAAGATTTATTGCTAATACTAGCAATTTATTTCCAATCAATAGCAACCAAACAATTCAAGGTATGCGCACGAGATAAACTTGCTACAAGCGCAAATTCCTTACAGACACACATTTGACAAGGTTCTGGTACAATAGCAATAGGAAGAATACAATAATCTATCTAGTATGTATAGTATAACATGGCTTGTCATTACTCACCTTGGTATCTTGTCATACGAGTCCCACGAAGTTAAGCAATTATAAGACGAGTATCGACTGTTACTCGCCATGTTACACAATAAATTTTCCATCGGAGTTTAATTTGCGCAGCAGACTGTGTGTGGGTGAGTAAAGAGGCTGGGTGGGAAGAGGAAGAAAGTGACGTAGGGGAGGGGAGAGAGATTGAAGTAAGGTGCTGGAAGAGGTGTTGTAAAACAGATTGATTGTGTCACGGTGGTGCCTGTCGATGCAGTCAAAAGCTATGGAGTGTGAGTATGAAAGGTGAATTGACAATTCAAATTGGGGCGCCGGGGCGTATGAGTAATATATTATGTATGGCTATATATATTTACTATGCTTGAATGGATGTGTGCATATTTTTCATTTGTTTTACTATATTATTTCGTTGCATGTGGTTGTATGTTTGAGTAGCATGAATAATGGTGTGGTAGTACCGTTATGCCAGTTGCTAACAAATGTCGAGCGAAATCTGTCTGGCGGCACATGATAGTTGGGAGCGTGCGTTTGAGTGAGGATGCGCACGTTTTTCTAGGTAATCCTCGTTTAAGTATAGAAATCACAGTTGAATTGCTGTAAGTGGGTTTTTGTTGCTTGCTATGGAGAGCTAAGGAGATTTTTATTCTTTTTCTTTTCACTTTGATAATTATTTCTTATTTATTGCTATTTTTGTGTTCGCACAACTATATTTATTGCTTATTCTTGTCTTCGCAGCTCAGCTACGCACTATTTGGTAGTATTGCACTATAAATTGGTTTATGAGATCATCATTTTGCTTCGCATTCATTTTATTATTGCACTCGTTTGTCAAGGAATAGTTGCTGCACTGAGCTGATTACCACGCATATAACTCATAAAAAACTATATAGAATATAAAGAAATTCATCCTTTTGTAGTTGGCAATATTTCAGCGAGACAGGCGGACTTTTCTGTTTAGTAAACCTTATAAATAATGGATATAAATGAAAATGGTAAAAAGCAAGCAAAATAATCAACTGGAAAAGGAAGATATAATAAAAACAAATCATAGAAAAACTAATTTACGGGCGATCCGAGTTGGTCATGGTTATATAAAAAAGTTGTAGATATTAAAAACATCTTCAAAAAACTTCAAAAATTATGTGAAAAATTCGATTTACCAACTTGTAAAAAAAATTTTTTTTCATAAAATTTGAGTACAAACTTTCCTTCTTATGTCCTATACACACTTTATGTTTTTTTTTTTTGTAGAAATATATTTTTTTCATCTAATTTTGACCCTAATTTTAAATCAAAAATTCTCAAGTCAGAACATCCGATTATTTTAAAAAGTCAGTAAGCTTTATGTTCGTTGAAATCTGATTGTACAACAAATGTACATTATTATGGCATGTTTTCTCACAAAATGCCAAAAAAGACACCACTAAACAGCTTTTTTCTATAAGCCTTGTGGTTTGGCCGGAGATCTTTAACCTACGACTACCTCCCGATTATTTTACAAATTATGGAGAATATACTGTCTGACACCCAAAATATCGTTTAACAAAGGTAAGCACAGAAAATCGGTATTCGTACTAGCCGAACAAAACTACTGAGGATGCAAATTTTTTCCTTAATAGGCTTTGAAACGAGTCTGGTAGGCCCGAGAAGAGAGGTAGAAATTACGACCAAACATTTTTTGGTCGTCTCTTACGATAGGTGACCAAAAAGTGGAGTGTTTGTGCTGCATAATGATATATATTTACTTTTTATAAAATATAGCTGTTTCTAATTCCAAAACTCTTTTAGGTTGGCCCAAATCTTTACATTTTTATTCTCCTTATGATACTTGGATAGTTAAGTCTGGTTAAATGAATATAATCTCCACCTCGTTAACACACCATTCCACAAGGCACAACACTGACAGCCCTAACATACCACACTGAAACACATCACAACACCTCACAACTCTACACCGCAGAACTAGTAAAAAGATATTGTTCTCGATGAAGACAGTCACTTTCGTCCATTGGATTTCGTTCGAACACCTTGCTTGCACGTGGCTATTTATCACGTTTTCATTACGATCGAAACCAATAAAATATGTATTATCAATCATTACAATGGATGAGTAATTATTTAAAGTAATTAGAGAAGAACGTTCTAATTTAGAGATACCACTTGGAGATAAGTACATAGCAAAAATTTACAGATGTATAAAAGGAAATTGTAAAAAAGCGAACTGAATTACACTGTAGAATCTTATTTCTCGTATGTAGTGTTGCAATTAATTTTACGCCTTTCCACAGAGCTGAAATTCGGGATCCCAATATGTGGACAAGATCAACTTTAGATAAACAAAAATAGTTTTTTGTTTAAAATTCTTTAGAATTTCTTTTCTATCTGTATTTCTAGAAACACTACCTTTAAATTTAATTATATTTAACCGCAGGTAAGTTGTTCCTTATACCTGTTAAAGATCGCTAATGAATTTTATGTATCCTATATAGATGCATTACATTTTTTACCTGCTTGACTTCGGAAGGTATAAATTCGGCGCAAATGACGACTTAAGCTCAATTACAGTTCAGAACCTGAACGCTCAAGTGGCCACAGGCCAAGTCGGTAGAAACAGCGTGAAGTAATTATTTCCAGAACGCTTAAATTTATAAAAAAAAATATAAAAAATCCGTAAAACATGTTGAGAACGAGAATACAAAGTAATATCTCTACGAGCACCCCACATCAACGACCAAGCCGGAACTCGTTAAGTTTTCCAATCTACACCGACAAAATGCGGGAAGCAGACGATCGAAGGAAGCAAGAGCAGAAAACATGCACAGCGACACCTATGAAAGTAAGACGGGAGGTCAAAAATCTGGTGAACGGCATTCGGAAGGAGAGCGAGAGAACTATTCGGCTTTAGTATAGACACATATCAAAAGTTTTGTACAAATGTTTTTAAATATTTCATAAGTTTGAATTAATAAATATTTTTTAAAATATATCAAAAATGTTAACCAAATTTAAGAAAAATATTTCTTGTAGATGTTGCATCTGGTTTTGAAATTTTTCCGTTTTTTTTTTTTTGCAGAAGAATAATGTATTTGTTTTAAATGGTTGTGACGCATTCAAAATAATAATTTTTTGGCGTCTTTCTACAAACTTATTGGTTTTTGTAAGTCCTGTCATTCGAATGAAATTTTTATAACCCCACAATATTTTGTTTAGATTATAACACTTTTGTTCGCTTAGCGTTTGTTTCTACCAGCTAAAACTAATCCAGCTAGATACGGAGTTATATATATATATATAAATGCTTAGGATTTTGAGACAAGTTGAGTTCCGGTTGACTGTCCGTCCGTCCATCTGTCCGAGCAAGCACGATTTAAAATTAAGACATCCTAAAAGAGGTTGGTATTGTATATAGGCGACATCGGGGTATTGCCCTGCCCACAAATTGCAGTTATTCGAAAACCTATAAAGTGTTATACAAGTAGGTAACTAAGACGGAAATTAAGATACGAAATTGTTATTTTGTTCAATGAATCGTGGTTAGAAGGGATTTGAAACTTTTTAAAAAGTGGACATGACCCCGCCTCCTAATAGGCTTAATGTATATTTCTTTCAAACCACTAATGCTGTAATAATCAAATTCACTCAGGAAAAATATATTAAAAAATTTCTCCCACACGGTGAAAATGGGCAATCGTGCGATAACGAAGCATTACATTTCACTTCCTATATATTGCGGTGAAGCTTCATTGAACCGATATCGAAATTGGACAGAGGGTGTGACACCGCCCACTTTTGGGTGAAATCCTATATCAATATATATATTTTAATAATATTTTCACATTCTTACATTGACTAGTGAAGATAGGTAAAATTTGAGTATAACCACGCCTACTTCTGATATATAACTATTTTAAATTCAATTATTTGATTTATCATTTTATCGCAATAAGACAGATCTATCGCGCGTAAAAACTGTCGAAAGCTGACTATAACCTCTTCAGGCCCCAGATACCGAATATGTGGATCCCAGCGACAATGGCTGATTTTTTACCCAAAATATCAAACAGTCTGTGAGGTTTAGTATTGAAATTCGGAGAGAATATTTGTATGATAACAGCATGCTTTTATATCAAAAATGGGTAAATTTAGAGAA